GCATCCAGGGCGTCCAGCTCCGGAGTGTCCAATCCCGGCATTTTCATGTGCCAGGCACAGGTGCAACTTCCAGCCCCACTGCCTATGATGGGCTGCAATACACTGTGCCTGGCCAGGGCTGAATGGTATTGGCATTTAGGGGCCCTGGGCTTTAGGGACATATTCCCCGGACACAGAATACCGGCGTTACCGAACACACACAGGGCCAAACCAGAGGGCCACTCAGGACAATGTTCAGCCCTATATATCTGCAGCGTATTTCAGCCTGTTATAGACTTTAGCAGGCAGCGGGTTGGACGCGGCCTCCAGGACGCACTCAGATGCCAGGACCGGACGCACAGGAGCTAGGTGGCCCCCCAGTATGCTCTGCCCTAATACTTTCACAGGTGGCTGAAAATTGCTCTATGTGTGGCCATCAGCGGGCCAAGCTTTGCATTTGTCCCGGCTTCACACTTTCAGGGTGATCAATGCATGCATGACGTGCGTTACATCACTTACTAATGTGCGTTGTCCTAAGGCAGCCCATTCCAAATGCCCCCAAACATGGCCAGAACTGCCCCTGACCCCTTGTTCAGTGTTGCTTCGCTGTGCTTAGCCTTCCAATTGAACTAAAGGAAAAACATTTATTTTGGTTCTGGATGGAGTGCAGAGGGACTACATCCCCTGTCAGGTTTTCTGCGCCCCATTATGGGATTCACCCCCTATTTGTCCTGTTTACTGTTATCACAAGAGGGGAAAGAAAATCCCAAATGTTGGGTTGTTCCCAGAACAGGAATAGAGGGGAAATCTTCCAATGGGGACCAATGGTGGCAACCAGGGATTTGGTGGGATTTCCTCTCACTTCCTGTTGCGTTTTTGGGACAAGAAGTGAAATCTCCCCAATGGGACACCTGACAGAGACTTTAACCCTCCCCCACTCCATCCAAGATGAAGAAAAATGCCTTTAGTTGTACTTTAGATGTTTCTGGGTGCCATTTAAGATGAATGTGCTTAGCGTGGTGTGCCCTCTGAAAAGTGATCCACCGTGGATTGGGTGACATGGGCTGCTGACCGTCACAAACTTCATCTGGTGGAAAACCGTCCAGGTCTGTGCGGTTTATATGGTAATGACCGGAGAATGTTCATGAAAGTCAAAGTCACTGCTTTATAAATAGACCCCAAATAACTTCCCCTCCCCCCCCCCAAAAAAAAAGAGAAAAAAAAAAGAAGAGAAAAAAACAGAAAATCTCCACACCAACAAATGAAAATGATGTATGAGGTGCGCTGAGATCCAGAGATGACTTTTAATTGCAATGTTTGTATTAGATTTTAATAGGGAATTCAAGAATTTGTTTAGTTACAAAATATTTTGGGGTCTTCCCCACCTGCCACAGATCCACAAATGGTTAAACATTGGACCAATCATATAATTCTGCTGTATCCATGACATCCGTGACCTGAATATTCTGCAGCCTAAAACAAGTTCCACCAGAAATCAAACTGGAAGAACCAGTTGAGACGATACCAATCTGATGAACTTCCTTTGTTGGTGTCACCCGCGTCTCATTGACTTGTATTACATCTGGTGGATCTGGTACTGGTTTCTGTGTCTGAAATCTAAGCCAACAGGTCCATCAGATCTGATCACCGAGCTTCTATCTTTGTCCAGTTCCAGCCAAAATCTTTACAAATGCCATTGGCAGTCAACGGTGCTTTTTTTCCCAGCCAGAGATCTTCCAGCTTTCTAGGAAATGTCCTTGTAGACAGGCCGACCCTTCCATCTCCTATGTAGAACAGCGTGGGATCAAAGTACGAAGCACATGTCTCAGGGGGTGAGGCTCCAGTCAGACAGGTACTCATGGCTCACATAGAGCGTTGTGTTTAATGTTCCCAACTGTGTTGAAGGGCGCTTCTTCAAAGTGCAAGGTCTACTTATCTCATAGACCCCTCAATGTAAAGAATCCCAAATAAAACATTAGTACAAAAAAAAGTGTAAACATTTCTCACTTTTCTTGGAGCTTGCCTAGGCAGGAGTAAAGTCACTGGACCTTCTCCTGGGAAAGCCGAAGAGCCCAAATCTCATGAAATGTTTTCCTGTGCCGTGCTACAGAACTTTCCTGGGCTTTGGGCTCCTTAGCTTCCCAGAAACCCGGGATAAGAGGTACCCTGAAATCCTGAGATTATTTTTGAATTGCAGTTGTTTTTTATTAGGTTTTACTGGGAAATTCAAGCATTTGTTTAGTTAGAAAAGGTTTTGCACCTGAGAAATCTAACCGGAAAAAGCCAGATGAGACAATTCCAATCTGTAATGCGCTTCCGTTGTTGGTGTTCTTGCCCAAGTCTCATTGACTTCTACTATGTCTGGTGGATCTGGTAGTGGTTTCTGAAATCTGGTACAACTGGTCCATCAGGTCTGATCACCGAGCTTCTATCTTTGTATGAAGTCCACTTCCAGCCAAAACAAATGCCATTGGCAAACAAAGGTGCTTTTGATCCCATGCATGGACCCTTCCATCTCCTATGTAGAAAGGTGTGGGATCAAAGTACCAAGTCCATGTCTCAAGGGGTGATGGGTACTGTTACTAGGGCCAACACTCACACTGTGTTTAATGTTCCCAGTTTTGTTGAAGGGATCTTCTTCAAAATTCAAAGTCTACGTATCTCATAGACCCTCCATGTAAAGAATCCCAACTAAAAAAGTAAACATTTCTCCCCTTCCTTGAAGCTCACCTAGGCAGGGGTGAGGTCACTGGGCCTATTCCTGGGAAAGCTGAGCAGCCAAATCTCATGAAAAGCATCTCCTGTGCTGTGTAGAGTGACTTCTCCTGAGATTTGGGCTCCTCAGCATTCTTAGAATCCAGGGATACAACCCAGTGATGTCACCCAATCCAATAGGAAATGGTTGGGAGTTGGAGTAACACTTCTAATGTTTCTTCCAGGGATGGAATTGTGATTTATCACATGAGGGTTGGGGGTTCAGGAGATAAGCGGAGCTCACAGTTTGATGGCTTTAGATGTAAGGTCTGTTTTATGAGGATACATTCTTGGCTGCACCCCCTCTTAGGTGGCCAATGACATATGTGATATTATACAGGATTTATATAGCGCCGACAGTTTGCGCAGCGCTGTACAATATAAAGGGAGGCCGTACAGTTACCGTACAATAAACAAGAGGGCTCTGCTCATAAGAGCTTACAATTTAATAGGGTGGGGCGAGTGGTATCAACCATGCTGACGGCAGCACCCGGGGGGGCATCAGATAAAACCATTCCTCTACAATCAGAAAATATATCATCCTTCCAATTGGTCCAAGTTAACCCCTAAGAGACAAAGAGGGGGAGGGGGGGAGAGGGGGTGGCCACTTATAGACCCTGGAGGGTGGTGGCCTGTGCATGTAGATTGCAGAATTGCCTGGAGCAGGACCAGGACAAGGGGTGGGAAGGAGGGAAGCCACCCAGGGCTCAGTGGTGGTGGGGAAGGGTACCATCCCCTCTCAGCAATCAAGCTCCAGATCAGTGGCTAGAAACTAGCAGACCACAGCTATTGCCATCATGCTGTGCTCCACCATGCCCGCTCTGCCCCCTATCCTCCCACAGCTGGCACAAGAAACACACCATGCATGCGCAGCTTCCTGCTAGCTGCTTGGAAAGCCAGCGATCGGCCATGAATGTGCAGTGCACCCTAATGCCAACCATAGGCAGCTGAAGCAAGGGGGCAGAGAATGGGGGCAGGGTGGTACACCCATTCTATGGCATGCATTAGGAGAAGGGGAGGGGTGCACTTCCACATCCTGACCTGGGGTGCTGAATGATCCTGTCCAGGTACTGGGCTGGAGGGTCAACTAAAGGAGATGTTCTGGTGGCCTAAGACTGGAGAAGAGAGGTGACCCCTGACAATGGTTGGACAGGAGGGGTTGGGGGATCCCCATCATATCATGAGTCTGATCCATCCTCAAGGCACAATCACTGTGCAGCATTACTATGTGTAGGTACAAGTATTCAGGACACAGTTTTTGGGGCGTCTTCCCCTTCTTCTAGGTCCAATCATCATTGAGACCCAAAATGAACTCAAACTAAAAAGTGTCATGGCCAGAACACAACTGCACTAATCCGGCTCCAATCACCTCCATCGTCCCAGAGTGCAGTCTGAGGGCATTTATCATGATACACGCCAAGCCACCTATGACCTGAAGTCTGGATGGAGAGTCTTCCCCAGGGAAGAATGCCTGACCACACCTCGTCACATGCCTGATGAAGGGGTTCTGCGAGATGCCAAAACGTTGCTCCTGCTGGAACTATGTGATTGCTTATTGAAGTCTTTGGACCCATATTGGAGAACTTTGGTGTTCTGGTGGCATTTCGCCCTTGTGATTCCTCTCGGTTCCAGCCGATGGTCACTGCAGCCCCCACCTACACATATGGTGTGATTCCTCTCGGTTCCAGCCGATGGTCACTGCAGCCCCCACCTACACATATGGTGTGATTCCTCTCGGTTCCAGCCGATGGTCACTGCAGCCCCCACCTACACATATGGTGTGATTCCTCTCGGTTCCAGCCGATGGTCACTGCAGCCCCCACCTACACATATGGTGTGATTCCTCTCGGTTCCAGCCGATGGTCACTGCAGCCCCCACCTACACATATGGTGTGATTCCTCTCGGTTCCAGCCGATGGTCACTGCAGCCCCCACCTACACTTATGGTGTGATTCCACTCGGTTCCAGCCGATGGTCACTGCAGCCCCCACCTACACATATGGTGTGATTCCTCTCGGTTCCAGCCGATGGTCACTGCAGCCCCCACCTACACATATGGTGTGATTCCTCTCGGTTCCAGCCGATGGTCACTGCAGCCCCCACCTACACTTATGGCCACTCTGATGAAGGAACGTGAGCGTTGGGGTTCTGGAATGGTCCAAAACTTCTGTCCTAATATTGAATTCTATCGTCCTCAGGGCAGAATCCTGCAGAACTTGTCCATATGCCACCAGCTGACCTTCACCCGATTCATCCGAGACAAACTAATGGTCCCGAGGTTGGGAGACGACCCGAAACTCTTCATCAAAAATCTGCACTTTGATGGAATCCCAGTGAGAGTGTACCAGCCAAGAGCCCCCTCTGCTGGGGGGAGGAAGGGGGTCATGTTCTTCCATGGCGGGGGATGGATGTTTGGAAGCATTGGTAAGAAAATGTGTGTAAATTACCTCTGAAAACTGAACTAAAGGCAAAACTTTTTTTCTCATTTTGGATGGAGTGGGGGAGGGTTAGCACCCCTGTCAGGTGTCCCATAGACAAACAGGAAGTGAGAGAAAATCCCTCCACAGACAGCAATACCATCTAACAGGGGGTCTCACCCCTCCCCCCTCCATCCAACACTGACAGGGGGTCTCACCCCTCCCCCCTCCATCCAACACTGACAGGGAGTCTCACCCCTCCCCCTCCATCCAACACTGACAGGGGGTCTCATCCCTCCCCCTCCATCCAACACTGACAGGGGGTCTCACCCCTCCCCCCTCCATCCAACACTGACAGGGGGTCTCATCCCTCCCCCTCCATCCAACACTGACAGGGGGTCTCATCCCTCCCCCTCCATCCAACACTGACAGGGGGTCTCACCCCTCCCCCTCCATCCAACACTGACAGGGGGTCTCATCCCTCCCCCTCCATCCAACACTGACAGGGGGTCTCACCCCTCCACCCTCCATCCAACACTGACAGGGGGTCTCATCCCTCCCCCTCCATCCAACACTGACAGGGGGTCTCACCCCTCCACCCTCCATCCGACACTGACAGGGGGTCTCACCCCTCCCCCTCCATCCGACACTGACAGGGGGTCTCATCCCTCCCCCTCCATCCGACACTGACAGGGGGTCTCACCCCTCCACCTCCATCTGACACTGACAGGGGGTCTCACCCCTCCCCCTCCATCCGACACTGACAGGGGGTCTCACCCCTCCCCCTCCATCCGACACTGACAGGGGGTCTCACCCCTCCCCCTCCATCCGACACTGACAGGGGGTCTCACCCCTCCCCCTCCATCCAACACTGACAGGGGGCTCACCCCTCCCCCTCCATCCGACACTGACAGGAAGTCTCACCCCTCCCCCCTCCATCCAACACTGACAGGGGTCTCACCCCCCATCCAACACTGACAGGGGGTCTCACCCCTCCCCCTCCATCCAACACTGACAGGGGGTCTCACCCCTTCCCCTCCATCCAACACTGACAGGGGGTATCACCCCTCCCCCTCCATCCAACACTGACAGGGGGTCTCATCCCTCCCCCTCCATCCAACACTGACAGGGGGTCTCATCCCTCCCCCTCCATCCAACACTGACATGGGGTCTCCCCCCTCCATCCAACACTGACAGGGGGTCTCACCCCTCCCCCTCCATCCAACACTGACAGGGGGTCTCACCCCTCCCCCTCCATCCAACACTGACAGGGGGTCTCACCCCTTCCCCTCCATCCAACACTGACAGGGGGTATCACCCCTCCCCCTCCATCCAACACTGACAGGGGGTCTCATCCCTCCCCCTCCATCCAACACTGACAGGGGGTCTCATCCCTCCCCCTCCATCCAACACTGACATGGGGTCTCCCCCCTCCATCCAACACTGACAGGGGGTCTCACCCCTCCCCCTCCATCCAACACTGACAGGGGGTCTCACCCCTCCCCCTCCATCCAACACTGACAGGGGGTCTCACCCCTTCCCCTCCATCCAACACTGACAGGGGGTCTCACCCCTCCCCCTCCATCCAACACTGACAGGAGGTCTCATCCCTCCCCCCTCCATCCAACACTGACAGGGGGTCTCATCCCTCCCCCCTCCATCCAACACTGACAGGAGGTCTCATCCCTCCCCCCTCCATCCAACACTGACAGGGGGTCTCCCCCCTCCCCCTCCATCCAACACTGACAGGGGGTCTCCCCCCTCCCCCTCCATCCAACACTGACAGGGGGTCTCCCCCCTCCCCCTCCATCCAACACTGACAGGGGGTCTCCTGGATATTTGTTATTATAGGATTTTGAATGTACAATAATTTGACCTTTGAATTCATTGATCATTTTTTAATCCTGGAATGGTATGTGACAATCACAGTATTTAACAGAAGCCCCCGGACAGCTCCAGTCTGCAGTGACAGTATGGCTGGGCTCCTGCTTACAGGGTGTGGGAAAGGCTGCGATCCTTGGATGTTCACATGCGATCTGCTGCGAGTGTCCATACAAAGCTAACACCCCAAACGCAATCCGGGTCAGTGTGGCTCCAGAAAGGTGCCTGCTCTTCTTCGGTGCGATCTGAACCCATTCCTTTTATGGACTGATGAGAACTGCACAGGAATGCAAGGTGGCACAGTGGGAACTGAGGCGAGGGACTCCTGTCTGTGTGTAGTCAGGGAAAAGGTTCAGGAACTCCCCCCTTCTAATCACTTCTTGTATCCACCCACTACCCACCTCCAAGCAGCATTCCTTGGTTCCACCCACTACCCACCTCCAAGCAGCATTCCTTGGTTCCACTAACTACCCACCTCCAAGCAGCATTCCTTGGTTCCACCCACTACCCACCTCCAAGCAGCGTTCCTTGTATCCTCCCCCTACCCACCTCCAAGCAGCGTTCCTTGATTCCACCCACTACCCACCTCCAAGCAGCGTTCCTTGATTCCACCCACTACCCACCTCCAAGCAGCGTTCCTTGATTCCACCCACTACCCACCTCCAAGCAGCATTCCTTGGTTCCACTAACTACCCACCTCCAAGCAGCATTCCTTGGTTCCACTAACTACCCACCTCCAAGCAGCATTCCTTGGTTCCACCCACTACCTCCAAGCAGCATTCCTTGGTTCCACCCACTACCCACCTCCAAGCAGCATTCCTTGGTTCCACCCACTACCTCCAAGCAGCATTCCTTGGTTCCACCCACTACCCACCTCCAAGCAGCATTCCTTGGTTCCACCCACTACCCACCTCCAAGCAGCATTCCTTGGTTCCACCCACTACCTCCAAGCAGCATTCCTTGGTTCCTCCCCCTACCCACCTCCAAGCAGCATTCCTTGGTTCCACCCACTACCTCCAAGCAGCATTCCTTGGTTCCACCCACTACCCACCTCCAAGCAGCATTCCTTGGTTCCACCCACTACCCACCTCCAAGCAGCATTCCTTGGTTCCACCCACTACCCACCTCCAAGCAGCATTCCTTGGTTCCACCCACTACCCACCTCCAAGCAGCGTTCCTTGGTTCCACCCACTACCCACCTCCAAGCAGCGTTCCTTGGTTCCACCCACTACCCACCTCCAAGCAGCGTTCCTTGGCTCCACCCACTACCCACCTCCAAGCAGCATTCCTTGGTTCTACCCACTACCCACCTCCAAGCAGCGTCCCTTGGTTCTACCCACTACCCACCTCCAAGCAGCGTTCCTTGGTTCTACCCACTACCCACTTCCAAGCAGCATTCCTTGGTTCCACCCACTACCCACCTCCAAGCAGCATTCCTTGGTTCTACCCACCTCCAAGCAGCGTCCCTTGGTTCTACCCACTACCCACCTCCAAGCCGCGTCCCTTGGTTCCACCCACTACCCACCTCCAAGCAGCGTTCCTTGGTTCTACGAACTACCCACCTCCAAGCCGCGTCCCTTGGTTCCACCCACTACCCACCTCCAAGCAGTGTTCCTTGGTTCTACCCACTACCCACCTCCAAGCCGCGTTCCTTGGTTCTACCCACTACCCACCTCCAAGCAGCGTTCCTTGGTTCTACCCACTACCCACCTCCAAGCAGCGTTCCTTGGTTCTACCCACTACCCACCTCCAAGCACCATCTCTTGGTTCTACCCACTACCCACCTCCAAGCAGCGTTCCTTGGTTCTACCCACTACCCACCTCCAAGCAGCGTCCCTTGGTTCCTCCCCCTACCCACTTCAAAGCACCATCCCTTGGTTCCACCCCCACCCACCTTGGAGCACCATCCCTTGGTTCCACCCCCACCCACCTTGGAGCACCATCCCTTGGTTTCACCTCCTACCCACCTCCGAGCACCATTCCTTGGTTCCACCTCCAAGCACCGTCCCTTGGTTCCACCCATCTACCCACCTCCAAGCACCGTCCCTTGGTTTTACCCCTCTACCCACCACTGAGCACTGTCCCTTGGTTCCACCCCTCTACCCACCTCCAAGCATGGTCCCTTGGTTCCACTCACCTACCCACCTCCAGGCACTGTCCCTTGGTTCCACCCCTCTACCCGCCTCCGAGCACCGTCCCTTGGTTCCACCTCTCCACCCGCCTCCGAGCACTGTCCCTTGGTTCCACCCCTCTACCCACCTCCAAGCACCGTCCCTTGGTTCCACCCCCTAGCCACCTCCAAGCACCGTCCATTGGTTCCACCCCTCTACCCACCTCCAAGCATGGTCCCTTGGTTCCACCCCTCTACCCACCTCCAAGCATGGTCCCTTGGTTCCACTCCCCTACCCACCTCCAAGCACCGTCCCTTGGTTCCACCTGGTGGGGGGAGGGGAGCAGTGCTGGGGTTTATACTGACACTAACATGGGGTTGTATTTCTGTTGGTTTCTCAGATTCCTATGATGGTCTGTGCCGGTACATCTCCAAGGAGGCGGAGTCAGTGGTGGTCTCTGTGGGGTAAGTACAAGTTGGGTGTACAAATCTCGGCCCATACACACCAGGTGATATATACAGAGAGGGAAGGCCAAAGAATGGACTTCATAGGCACTGCAACAATGTTACTTTATTGAGTAGACAGAAATGTGCAGAAGTTCATAAGATCATTTGCAGAGAGTGTGACCCCCCCAGAGGGATGACAGTCTGTGACGTTACAAATCTCGTAGACACATAAAACGTTTATACGTAGCAATATACTGCATCCCGGGAAGGGTGTAAGGAGACATAAATCTGGTGTCGGTGACCAGAGTGACCAAGATATCACTTCTTCAGGAGTTACTACAAAAGAGAAAAGTTGCTGAAAATTTCTACATAACATTCTATTATCTGTGAGACGGGGAAACAACTTTCATTGTTTGAACCCTGATTGAAGTAAATTAAAAACGTTCTGACTGACATTCTGCAGTTTAGCCACAAGATGTCACTGTTTTTCTAACACAGCCTCAGACTGCATAGAGACTTCTATATTCATGAAGGGGTGGGGTTTTTAGACTTGGAGAGTGAACAGGAAAAGGGGAGGAGAACAGCCATGCTTGAGAGAGAGAAGGGGGGCTGTGTGATCTGAGAATCCGATGCCATCCAGATGTGAGGACAGCCCTCCGTGATCAGAAATTCAGTTGAGTGAAGCTGATGGTGTTCAAGACGCTAACCCTGTTCAAAGAAAGGCAGATTGCTTCCAGGAAGCTGATGAACTAAGCAATCTATATACTGCGAGACCGCATGCTTGTTGGAGAGACAGTTGTTCTGTTCAGAGTCACCAGCGGATGCAAAGCAGACCCGGGTCGGTAAGATCGTGCACGCACCTCATTTCAGTGTTGGCGCCTAGAGACTGAGTCCAGGCCTATAGTTAGTTAGGGTCTCTGTGTCAGGCCACAAGTGTTGTTACTGATCATTGGAAGGACTCCACAACTTAAAGTGACATTTCACATTGGAGAGCTGATAACATCCCACAAACTCACCCCAGACTGGTGTTTTGCTCAGAAGGAATACTCCGGCACGTGCTACAGGACCAGTTATGGGGGGGGGGGGGGGGGGGGGATACTGTAGATTGGTGTAAGATTGTAAGCTGTTGTGCTGCACCGCAGGCTAGCCCATACCGGACCCCCATACACTGATTCCTGCTCTGTGGGGTAATAACAGGTAAGGTGTGCCCCCAGTAGGTAAATGACTACACCTTCTACCTTCATCCATCAGGGGGCGCCGTGCTGTGCAGCACAAGGGTCTCAGCCAGGCTGGGTGGATGTAAATCTATTGTATATTCCAGCATTTGTGTTCATTTATCACATCTAAGTAACATTCTGTTGTGGCAAAAGCTGGTGTTGGGGTTGTTTCCTCGTTGGTGACGTCACTGTATCCTGGGGAGCCCCCCCCCCCGGTACACGGCTTACACATTCACTGTATCCTGGGGAGCCCACCCCGGTACACGGCTTACACATTCACTGTATCCTGGGGAGCCCCCCCCGGTACACGGCTTACACATTCACTGTATCCTGGGAGCCCCCCCCGGTACACGGCTTACACATTCACTGTATCCTGGGGAGCCCCCCCGGTACACGGCTTACACATTCACTGTATCCTGGGAGCCCCCCCCCGGTACACGGCTTACACATTCACTGTATCCTGGGGAGCCCCCCCCGGTACACGGCTTACACATTCACTGTATCCTGGGGAGCCCCCCCCCGGTACACGGCTTACACATTCACTGTATCCTGGGAGCCCCCCCCCCGGTACACGGCTTACACATTCACTGTATCCTGGGAGCCCCCCCCCCGGTACACGGCTTACACATTCACTGTATCCTGGGAGCCCCCCCCCCCCGGTACACGGCTTACACATTCACTGTATCCTGGGGAGCCCCCCCCGGTACACGGCTTACACATTCACTGTATCCTGGGGAGCCCCCCCGGTACACGGCTTACACATTCACTGTATCCTGGGGAGCCCCCCCCGGTACACGGCTTACACATTCACTGTATCCTGGGGAGCCCCCCCCGGTACACGGCTTACACATTCACTGTATCCTGGGGAGCCATCCCCGGTACACGGCTTACACATTCACTGTATCCTGGGGAGCCCCCCCCGGTACACGGCTTACACATTCACTGTATCCTGGGGAGCCCCCCCGGTACACGGCTTACACATTCACTGTATCCTGGGGAGCCCCCCCCGGTACACGGCTTACACATTCACTGTATCCTGGGGAGCCCCTCCGGTACACGGCTTACACATTCACTGTATCCTGGGGAGCCCCCCCCGGTACACGGCTTACACATTCACTGTATCCTGGGGAGCCCCCCCCGGTACACGGCTTACACATTCACTGTATCCTGGGGAGCCCCCCCCCCGGTACACGGCTTACACATTCACTGTATCCTGGGGAGCCCACCCCCGGTACACGGCTTACACATTCACTGTATCCTGGGAGCCCCCCCCCCGGTACACGGCTTACACATTCACTGTATCCTGGGGAGCCCCCCCCCCCGGTACACGGCTTACACATTCACTGTATCCTGGGGAGCCCACCCCCCGGTACACGGCTTACACATTCACTGTATCCTGGGGAGCCCCCCCCGGTACACGGCTTACACATTCACTGTATCCTGGGGAGCCCCCCCCCCGGTACACGGCTTACACATTCACTGTATCCTGGGGAGCCCCCCCCCCGGTACACGGCTTACACATTCACTGTATCCTGGGGAGCCCACCCCCCGGTACACGGCTTACACATTCACTGTATCCTGGGGAGCCCACCCCCCGGTACACGGCTTACACATTCACTGTATCCTGGGGAGCCCACCCCGGTACACGGCTTACACATTCACTGTATCCTGGGGAGCCCCCCCCCCCCGGTACACGGCTTACACATTCACTGTATCCTGGGGAGCCCACCCCGGTACACGGCTTACACATTCACTGTATTCTGGGGAGCCCCCCCCCCCCGGTACACGGCTTACACATTCACTGTATCCTGGGGAGCCCCCCCCCCCCCCCCGGTACACGGCTTACACATTCACTGTATCCTGGGGAGCCCCCCCCGGTACACAGCTTACATATCTATCATTCAGCATCAAAATATTATGGATATACCTTAATCTACAGGCATCATAGCGGGGGTTGGGGAGGGGGATCGGAGCCCTCACAGCCAGGGCAAGTCGACAGGGGGACCCCAAAAGGACCGGCTGGGCCGCAGGCAGCCCCACAGAGGACTTCCTAACATATGGTTACTGGTGGGACATGGCAGAATCTTGCTAGATGGTAGTAAGGTTCGAAGTGACCTTCCCACAATCGGGGGTACAGTGATGTCATCAGACAGTGATGTCATCGGTTCCGGCCCGATAAGGCCACATAGAGAAGCATTCAATCGTATGAACTATGTAGGGGAAGGATAGTCATATCACCAGTTCTGGTCCAGAGAACGTGCCTCAAGCTTTGATGAACAATAATTCTAGTATGTGGAGAGGTCCCCAGGAAAGCCATCAGGTGGCGTGGACAAGGAATGTGTCCTCATTATAATGTCAGGAAATAATATGGGTGACGTTTGAGTATACAGGGGCGAGGATATAGCAAACTATACACCAACCTTCCAATATGGAAGACGAGCGAGCCGCATGGAGCAGAGATCGTCAGTATTACTGGAATGATAGAGTCTTCCATTACGATCCCATCTGTAATAAAACCATCAAGGAGGTTCCATATTATCCACAGCTACGGCCCAGGCCACAAAATTGCCGTAAGTGACTACAGTCAGAAGAACTGAACTATACCTGAGCCATTGGACTGAGTACACCATCGGACATTGGCCCCGGGACCACCAATAAGTGGAGCTCGCATCGTCGGACATTGGTCCCGAGACCACCAATAAGTGGAGCTCGCATCGTCGGACATTGGCCCCGGGACCACCAATAAGTGGAGCTCGCATCGTCGGACATTGGTCCCGAGACCACCAATAAGTGGAGCTCACATCGTCGGACATTGGTCCCGGGACCACCAATAATTGGAGCTCACATCGTTGGACATTGGTCCCGAGACCACCAATAATTGGAGCTCACATCGTTGGACATTGGTCCCGAGACCATCAATAAGTGGAGCTCACATCGTCGGACATTGGTCCCGGGACCACCAATAATTGGAGCTCACTTTGTCAGACATTGGTCCCGAGACCACCAATAAGTGGAGCTCACATCGTCGGACATTGGTCCCGGGACCACCAATAAGTGGAGCTCACATCGTCGGACATTGGTCCCGGGACCACCAATAAGTGGAGCTCACATCGTTGGACATTGGTCCCGGGACCACCAATAAGTGGAGCTCGCATCGTCGGACATTGGTCCCGGGACCACCAATAATTGGAGCTCACATCGTTGGACATTGGTCCCGAGACCACCAATAAGTGGAGCTCACATCGTCGGACATTGGTCCCGGGACCACCAATAAGTGGAGCTCGCATCGTCGGACATTGGCCCCGGGACCACCAATAAATGGAGCTCGCATCGTCGGACATTGGTCCCGAGACCACCAATAAGTGGAGCTCACATCGTCGGACATTGGTCCCGGGACCACCAATAATTGGAGCTCACATCGTCGGACATTGGTCCCGGGACCACCAATAAGTGGAGCTCACATCGTCGGACATTGGTCCCGAGACCACCAATAAGTGGAGCTCACATCGTCGGACATTGGTCCCGAGACCACCAATAAGTGGAGCTCACATCGTCAGACATTGGTCCCGAGACCACCAATAAGTGGAGCTCACATCGTCGGACATTGGTCCCGGGACCACCAATAAGTGGAGCTCACATTGTCGGACATTGGTCCCGGGACCACCAATAATTGGAGCTCACATCGTTGGACATTGGTCCCGAGACCACCAATAAGTGGAGCTCACATCATCGGACATTGGTCCCGAGACCACCAATAAGTGGAGCTCACATCGTCGGACATTGGTCCCGAGACCACCAATA